GAGAGAGTTGAAGCAGATAGCTTGCATAAATATTTACAGCCTTGGAAACCCTATGGACAGTTCTGCTGTGTCCTATGGGGTCTGGATGAGTCCGAATCGATTCACTGTCAGTAGGTTTGGTTTTGGGGTTTTATTATACAATTTCGCATAAAGAAGACTGTCCACATAAATATTAAGAACATAATTTATTTTTAAGATCAAATATACAAAACAAACTTACCGAAGGAATGATTTAATGTTTTCAGCTTTCATTTCGGATACCAATTCCCACCCCATATTTTGATGATAGCGCAGCGAAGTGTCTGCTTCTTGGAGAGCCTTATTAATAAACCAGCCTGGCGGAACACACACACACACAATAAATAGCTTTTGACGTCTATAAAAACCAGAAGGCAAAATACAGCTCTTACCTAAGAAACAGATCATGGTGAGCTTAGGCATAATAAATGAAAAATGTACGTATTAAATGCAGAAAAACTTTTAAGTTCTGATGGTAATTTGGGTTGGATAAAACAAGTTATATTTCAGTAATGTTCTTTAATTTTCTCACGTTATGCATCAAGGCACAACCTCCTCTCTCCCTCCCTTCTTGTTCTCCCCTGGGTACAGTAAAACAGTGCCTGACACACAGGAAGCATCCCACAAGTGTTTATTTTACTAAACGCCGAGGAACGGGCCGTCTTTGCAGTGCTGTCCACAATGGCTGAAAGTTTTGACTCATCCCTGCTGCCTGGAAATGAAACCAGTTTTTTCATCCGCGCGGGTAACAAGAGCTATAAGCTGTCTTCCCAATAGCCCATAACAATTGTCCGCACTCAATAAGTAATGAACAAATCTGAATTTCAGTCACTTTCATTGCTTAAAAAAAAAAAAAATACTCATTGCCTTTGAGTCGTTTAGGACTCATAGAGACCCCTCCTTGGGTTTCCGAGGTGGTATCACTACGGGCAATCCTACTTCCGTAGTGATAACTGCCTGGAAACCCAAGGAGGGGGTCTCTATGAGTCGGGCCGACTCGATGGCAAAGAACAACAACATCACAACGGAAGTAGATTGCCCAATCTGTTCTTCCTAGGAGTGGCTGGCGGGTTTGAACCGCCAGCCTTCTAGTTAGCAGTCAAATACCTTAGGCAGTACGGAGGTCAAAATACATTCCATTCGGTATCTAGTTTTGCTGAAGATCCCAGAGCTCGCCCTAATGAGCTCAGCTGGCCTGCACAAGCCCAGCGCTAGTCCAACCCCTCCAAGCCCCAGGACGGGCTTCCAGCTGAGCAGCTTAGAGCTTCCGGTAGAGAAGCGGCTGCAGACAAGAGCTGTTGTTGTTGTTGTTATGGGCCATGGAGTCAGACCCGACTCATAGCGACCCCTCCTTCGGTTTCCGAGGCAGTATCACTAGGGAAGTAGACTGTTCCAACTTCCTTCCGAGGAGTGGCTGGTGGGTTTGAACCGCCAGCCTTCCGGTTAGCAGTCAAGTGCCTTAGGCACTAGAGCGCGACCCCTAAAATCTGAGAGGGGGGTTTGGAAAACTTACCCGCCAAAAATCCAACTAAGAAAGATGTCAGCGCTGCAGCCAAGCACACCCAGAGGTACAGACGGCCTCTGGACTTCGCCATGGCTTCTTCGGAACCGAGCTTGGGGCACCCGCTGCCGTCGCGAGCCTCCGGACTGCGAAGGAACAGACAGAGCGTACCCGGGGACTCTGGGAGCGCACAAGTTGCAGGGCTGGGGCGGGCTGGCCACAGCCCCTGGCCTGCCTCAGAGCTCCGCCTCCGCCCTCCCAATCTGCCCGGGCACTATGTGGACCCCTGAGGGGGAAAAACTTCCCAGGACAGGAGACACATTCTTCCTGTTTGCAAGCAATTTACATTCTGTTGACCCTGTGGTGACCCGGGCAAAATCAACGGAGGGGACTGCAGGAGCAGCTGAAAATATCCCTAATGATTTCCTAAAGAACTTTTTATCCTGCTTTTGTTCTCCCCTATCCCAGGAATTGCCAAATGTTTGAGTACTGCTGTTAACCTCTGTTGATTATACAGCTGCCAAATTCACTGTCCTTGTTTCTGTCTGGTCAACTGGAGAAGTATTTGTAGCTCTGGCTACTCCAGTGTAACTCACTAGTTCCTCACCCATGCATCCACATCAAAGCTGACTGGATTGAGTTCTTTCTTTCTTCCCTTTTTCTAATAAGTCTCTTCTGTAACTCTCAGCTTCTTATCTAACCGGAGTTACACTTAACACCTACCTCACTAGCAAGTCATAGGTTCAAGTTAAATAAGACTAACCCTTGAAAGTGTCTTGCACTGTTATTGACAGTTTCTCAACAAATGTCATCCTCTCTGACCTCACCCTCATATTACTAGTATAAGGCATCTTTTTTTTTTTAAATTGAGTAGAAAGACCCTGGGCCTTAGGTAAGGAACTAGGCGGTAGAATATAAACACTAAACATCCTATTGGGCCAATTAACTGGTACGAATGCATGAAACCATGATCCTAAACCTCCAAACCAAGGAACCAGATCCCATGTGTGGTTGTACCTAAGCAACCTCAGAGGAGCTTTGGTGGCATAGTGGCTAAGGCATTTGACTGCTAATCAGAAGACTGGTGGTTCAAACCCACCAGCCACTCTTTGGAAGGAAGGCTGGGCAATCTACTTCTGTAGAGACACTAGACTCAGAGGTGACTTTTTTTTTTTTTCCCTGTCATTGTAAATAAGTCTTTGTGGAACCATGGAGGCTGGTACTGGATGAAATCCCCCTCCCCAGTACTGCCCTGAAATAATCCTTAAACTTGAAACCCAAAATATCCCCTAAAGACTTAGTAAAACCAAGCAATGGTTTAGCTTAGTTAGTAAAGAATGTCTGCCTTGGGCATTGTGCTCTTTGAAAAGATACCTGTTTACATCGGATCAAATTGATAAGAACAACTGGAAAGATTGGGAACCCTAGGGGGCAGTGAGTTTTCTTGAAGGAGGGGCAACTCAGAAAATAAGAGTGAAAATGGTTACACAGTTCAAAGAATCTATGGCACTAAATTGAAAAAGTAGAAACTTGAATTGGTGTATATTTTCGCTGTCTATATTCTCCACAACATACAATGTAAAAATAAATTATTAAAATAAATTGATTAAAAAGTTTGCAAACTGGTGAGCCTTGTAAATAGAACTCCTTCATCCACCCATCTCATCCCACAAGATCATTTTAGCAATTCATGTGGTTCCTCATATCTATCCAAAAGAAAGATACTTAGTGGATTTTGAAGAGGGTGATACCAATAAGGTTATACCCCCAAGCTTCAATGCATTGTTTGGAGCCCTGACAACCTTAAGTAAAGCACCTTTCTTTGCTCCCAATAAGTGACCAAAAAGAGTCTAACTTATTTCTTGAGCAGTATTGTTGGTGGGTTGGAGCTCTGGTGGTATAGTGCCTAAGGCATTTGACTGCCAACCAGAAGGCTGGTGGTTCAAACCCACCAGCCACTCCTCAGAAGGAACGTTGAGCAATCTACTTCCGTAGTGATATTGCCTCAGAAATCCAAGGATTGGTCGCTATGAGTTGGATCCAACTCAATGGCAGTGTGTTTGGTTGGTTTATTGTTGGTGGATACACCTGATGGTTTTTCCTGTGAAATTTCTGTAGGATCTCCAATGGTTAATTTTGAACCAAATATCTTTACTAAACTGATTTCAAAATGTTTGTATGTTGTTAAAATCCCAACTAATTTCAGCTCTATCAGCTCCTAGTCCCCTTTGACAGTGTTCAACTCATACCTCCCGCCTTTTAGAGATAAGTATTTTTAGTTTTCCAAAAGATAACATTTCATAACAAAATAAACCCCCCACATACACTCCGAAGCAACACTAAATACAACAAAGCTAGGATGAAGTTATTCAAACAGGTGTTGTAGACAATGAATTAACTATACTCCTCAAACATGGTTTAAAAAATACCTCCCTAGGGCATCCATGATTATTTTTGTTCGCTATATTGTTAAAGTCCGGGATGCGGAGATTTTTAATAACTATTCAGTTTCTACTTTGGCAGTCAGATGATGAGTTTCCTTGATGCCACAAACAATATCTAAATGTTATTTTTGTCTGAATATATACAAATGTGTTTACATATATATGTTTTGAGGATTTATTATGTTATTTGTCAATTTCTAGATTCTTGGTTTCTCCTATTTCCTTTCCATGGGTCCATTTACTATTGCTTACATATATCCCAAAAGGTAGATCAAAATTATCTCTGGAAAAAAAGCTATGCTGGAGACAATAGAAACTAATGATTAAAATTAGTTATTAAGCTATTTGTGAAATATGTTTTCTCACACCTCATTCCTACTTTTTACTGTTTAAGTTTCACTAGTAGAAGAAATTTGTACTTAGCAAATGTGCCAGCTTGATTTATCTTCCAAAATAAAATTAGATTATTAGTTCAATCAATCTATAACATGCCAAACATTGTGCAAAATTCTGATGATATGGTAATTACCTTTATGAAGCTTGCAATACAATGAGAAGGTGGATATGGAATTAGTAACTAAATGTAAGGAGCACCAAGAAGGAGGATTACCTCATCTGTGGACAATGTTGCTGCCTCAATAGACGGCATCTGCAATGTGTATCTTGATATTCCATCGTAAAATACCCACTTAGCTGTTTCAGCAAGTCTTTGATTCAGCAAGTCTTTGTTAGTACAAATACTGCAAACAGAATTTCATCTTAACTGCGGTCTAACAGAAGGCTGATATCATAAATAATTTTTGATAGTCATTTTGACAGATCTTTGCACCTTGCAAACACACTTAACAAAACAACGTTGTTTACTTATGCATGACAACTTTGAAACTTCCTTCACAGTTAAAAGACATAAAAGAAACTTTTACCATTAGAAAATTAATCTCACAGTAAAACTATTTGGCACATTTGATTGTACCATTATTCAGTAAGCAGAACTCACCATCTTCTCCATTCATCAAATGTAATTGGTCTTAAAGATCCTCCAATAGGCAACCTTGAAATTCCTAGATTGAAGTCTCATCAAAAGGAGCATGGCACAGTTTGAAAACCAAGTGTGATATGTGTACTCATAAAACAGTATATGTAATTTCCTCAAAAAGTTTTCCACTCATTAAGATTTAATTGAGAAGGAATAATATTTAGCCTGATGATAAAATGGTCAAATATTTGTCAAACTCACAGCCTCACCAGCTACTGAGTCACAAATCTCATGTCTTGTTTGAAGATGTTGTCTCATCCTTTATGAGATGTATGACCTAGATGCAAACTATACAGATATAGATATTATGCCATCAATGATGTCACAAGGTAGCATTGCTAGAGTAATGATAGGCCCCTGTGATGATATGGTCATCCAGACAGCAATGCTCACTTGTTAAAAAAGTAAATGGTTGTGTAGTGTTGGCTATAATTAATGGCAGGAGACATTTTCAAAATTCTGGTTCAGAAATCTGTCAGAAACTAGTTTCAAACTTAAAAGAAGAGATGAGAATGTTAGTACATTAAACAACATACCAAAATGTATGGAGGCAGATGAGAGAAGATAAATAGGAAGAAGTATAGATAATGATAAAAGGGTTGTTATTGTTTTTGTTAAGAGCTCTGGTAGCATAGTGGCTAAGGCACTTGACTGCTAACCAGAAGGCTGGCGGTTCAAACCCACCAGCCACTCCTCGGAAGGAAGGTTGGGCATTCCTACTTCCGTAGTGATACTGCCTCGGAAACCCAAGGAGGGGTCGCTATGAGTTGGGGCCGACTCGATGGCAAACAACAACAACAACAACAACATTGTTTTTGTTGGGTACCATTGAATTGTTTCCAACTCACAGTGACCCTATGTGATGGAGTAGAAGTACCCAGTGGATTTGCTTAGCTGTAACCATTATAGAAGCAATCTTTCTCCCACAAAGCTGCTAGAGGGGTTTGAACCACCAACCACTTGGTTAACAGCTAACTGCGTAACCATTGCACTACCAGAACTCATAGATAAAGCCATAAAAGACTAATAAAAGTAAGTGAGAAAAAATTTTGAAAGAAGAGCAAAAAACCATGATTGGATGATTTCCTTCTGATGTCACAATTACTCTACTCAACAATAAATGTAGAAATTAGAAAAGATCTACAGCAGAGAGAAGACCCCTGCCCATGCCCTCTCATCAACATAGGATGTGCCTACTAACATTCCTGTTGGAATCTTGGCACTGGTAAGTTATATAACCTGGTCTTTATTCCAGATTTTCCTACTCAGTACATCCTTAACATGTGCCTGTTGGTTGGTAGCATAGTGCCTAAGGCACTTGACTGCTAACCAGAAGGCTGGCGGTTCAAACCCACTAGCCACTCCTCAGATGGAAGGTTGGGCAATCTACTTCCATAGTGATACCGCCTTGGAAACCCAAGGAGGGGTCGCTATGAATCAGGTCCGACTTGACGGCACATAACAACAACAACAACAACAATAGTGCCAGAACCAAGTGGCCTGCCTTGATTTAGGTGATTCAAACTCACCAGCCACTCCTCGGAAGGAAGACTGGGCAATCTACTTCTATAGAGGTACTGCCTCAGAAATTCAAGGACAGGTCTCTGTGAGTGAAAATTGACTCCATGGGTGAGTTTTTTTGTGGTGGTGTTTTTGTTTTTCAGATAACAGAAATACCACAAGTAGTTAGCTTTACCAACAAGAATTTATTCTCTCATAGTTTAGGAAACCAGAAATCCAAATTCAGAGCATGGGCTCTAGGGGAAGGATTTATCTCTCTGTTGGCTCTTG